GAGATGTTTATTTTCACAATTCCAGTCATCCTTCATCGTGGCGCTGTATTATGACTTTGGGTTGCGCTCCAGTTGTTGCCAAGTTTTTGTTTTATAAACACCGGGAGGTGAACCTCAATCTTGTACCATGATTTCAGGAGATTTTTGCACTACCAAAGTTCAAGTTGGCAACTAAACGGATCGAAAGGTGTAATATGAAAGTGCCCTGCACTTCTCACCGTAATGTCCTAATGATTTGCTCTTGCATTGACCTGGCTGGTAGTTGTCCCTGCATGGAGAATTCACTTCTCTGTGATCATGACTGATTACTGTCAAGTGTTTTCTGTAGTCACCGTTATTGAGTATTGACATGTGTGTGTCTGTTTCTGACAACTTGTGATTTGTTGCAGCAATGTGTTGCACATGGAATTGGCATTCTGAATTCTTTCTCTAGCTCTTTTTTTTTTTTTGGCCTTCAAAGAAAAAAAATATCCATGAACTGATGTTTTCCATGCAAGATTAATACTCATATTAATTAAAGGGAATATACATCATTTGCTTTTGCTGTAATTTTCAGAAATGGATGGAATTGGGGGGTTGGAAATAAAAAGCAAATATAGTTACACTGACTTTTTGGAGGTTTTGGGTTCGAAAATGCTATAAAAACCAAGAAAAACGATCATTTCCTGTAGTCTGGTTCCCTGACTCCATATAAGAAGAAACAGAGCAGTTTACATACATTGGGGAATTGTAAGGTCAGGGAACCAGTCTAGCTGGCTCGTACCCGTTCATAGGTTTGTAATCGATTGCAAACAAGTGCAATGGTCAATTGGGGCCAGTATTTGAAAAAAAAGCCAGTTGTTTCCAACGCTGATCCGCCGATCAGCGTTGGAAATTGATACAAAAATACCACTTTTCTTGAAAATGACAGTATACCAGGTGCCATAATTTTACAGGATGCTTTAGACTGTCATTTACCAACATCCTATTAAGGTATTTCGCAAAAACTTGGTAGTTTTATTTTTCGATGTTTGCAAATGTTGTATATTCCTTTAATAGTATTTCTGTCTGGTGATGTTTATGTCTTGCATTGTAAAGTAATTTACAAACGTGTAAAAGTTGTTAAATTACTCTCGAAATTTTTTGGATAAAAATCTTGGCACACTCAAATGAGAGAAACATGTAGTTAGAGCATGTCTTTGAATGCTGAACATCTTTTTTTTCCCAGCAAAGTGAATAAAGCAACACTATTGAATATCTGTAACAATGGCAGTTGAACATTCTTGTGTGTTTTTTTTATACTCACCTGTCTCACTTAGAATTACATTACAAAACTTCTAATAATTACCCATGTACGGTAGTTCAGTTTATCATCTGACACTGAGCTTGTAAAATGAGAACTAACTTTTGATAGAGTACACATAATTATGACAATTCAGTCTGTAGCTGTAGAGCAAACTCAACTCTTTAATGAGTATTGCACACGTTCTTTGTGAATTGTTTAGTTTTGAACATAGTTAAATTCATGTACTCAAAATAGCTTAAAATACAATGTAAATGTACCAAATATTTTTAACTTTGCTGATTTGGGTTGAATACATTTGTAAATAAACTTATAATGCTTTACCAATTTGGTGTATTCAGAGTGGACTAAGGTCTATCTGAAAATGTACCATCAGAACAGCTGTAAATTACGTGTAGTACTATTCAGCTAACTACCGGTGCACTTACTGGAAAGAATGTTGCATTCTGACGCCACTTTTTTTTTCAACATTTATCATCTCAATGAAGGTCAGTCATTGCAAAAATGATCTGGGACAGAGAAACATTTCCAAGTTTGTTAGAAAATACTTTGAAAATGTACTCAACTCTCCATACAATGTAGACTGTACACAACCAAAGAAGCGGCATCTGAAAACTAGGGCGGTACATTCCCATTTAATTTAGGACTTTCATCTCCAGTGTGAAGTCCTTAATTTTTGCACAACCATTCACCCATGGACGAATCCCTTCTTGTTCCTGTATGATTCAACCTAGTACAGACATGTGTCCATGTATTGGAACTGCAGAACCCCATTTTCACACCACTCCAACCGTAACCACCTCACTGCGTTTGGAGTCACCCAGTCGTAGCTTGGAGGCAAATTGCTACTCTGGGAGTCATTCTCCAACCTTTCACATCCACTTAAAGAAGATTTTTTTTTGAGTCAATACTTTCACCAAAAAAACACCAATGGAAAGTGGAGTCCAGACTAGTGCTCATTGCGGTTTTACCCAAAATAGACATACATCTTGTTGCATTTGATTGTTTCCTTCAAGCTGAGTATTTGCGAAACTAAAGTCCCTGCTGTTTCAAAAATAAATTATTTTTTTTTAAAAAAATGGAAAAACTGCTGAGTATCATCATGCTATCAGCAAGGTTTTAACTCCATGATGCCCACTACAATAAAATAACATTTCCTCCAGTTTATTTTGTTCTCTGCCTAGGTTGGTGCCGTTTCTGATTTATCTCAAGTCCAACTCGGCATCTAATAACCCTATTAACATCGGGATTTTGTTTTCCAGGGAACTTTTTTGAATCCTCTAAAATCAAACATTGTACTGTGCAAGAATCCAAAAGAAAAATCTTCATACTTAAATTTTTTTGATGAGCTCTACCATCTTAAATTCCCTAAAAACTTAGCTTTAGCTGAATTTTTATTTTTACCAGAGGCTAATGTCATTTTTGGAGAAGTTTCATAATGAAAACCAAGGCTTCATGGTCATTGAAAAGCAAAACAGATTCACCTTTATGACGCTTACGAAATTCAATTTACAAAAAACATGTACACCGTCAAGCTTCATAATATGAGTTCACTGTACACACTTGTAACTTGCTGTATTGACCTACCGATGTGGTAGTATTATCGTGCAGACCCTTATGAAGAATCTGTACAGCAATTTCCAAAATTTAAATTTTGGGGTTCACGGTTGAGTTTCTTTAACGGGTACCTGGGTACCTGTGTGGGTTTATTTTTCAATCGGGTACCTGATTCCCATACTACCTGTAAATGCGCACCCCTACCGGTACCCTGCATTAGCTCAAACACATTTTTTTTTTTCCATTCCTATCTTAACTATTAAAACACATGGTAATAACTGGAAAGTCATGAACATCTTTATTAAACACTGCCATGACACATGTACATGTACTTCTCCCTAGTTTGCAAAGATGCCATGTGGTAGCCAGCTGTATATCTGTATTTCCATCAGCTTAATGCGTATCGTATGGCAGTTAAAACGGCATGACGGCTGCCCATGCAAAACAAACCATGGACCAACGCATGGAAGATTGCGCTTGTGGGAGCAATCCGAAACTGAACAAACTGGAGTTTATCCTCTTTTTCTGCAATTGAAAACATGCACTAGCAATAGATTATTGTCGTTGGCATTGTAGAAAGAAACCTTTATTTTTCTTGGGTAGTGTCAGAGCAAAACAATTTATCAGAGTAATGTCACGAAGTGTCATTTTTGAGGGAATAAAGCTTACATTTTGGGTGTGTTGTATTTCCTAGGTTTGGAGCTCTTTGCTTTTGTCGGTGGCTTCGTAATTTTTTTGATACCTGGTGAAATGGCACATATGGGTTTATGGTTGAAGACTGACTCCCAACAAAGTCAGTCATTGATGTGACACATCTCTATAAACAAATCTGGATAGCCCATTGGCTGTTGGAAGTGAAGTCACCGTCCACCATGTTACTGCTCCCATAACAATGGAATTGTGAACAAGTCTGTATTCATTTACCCGTAATATTTACCTTTTTATTAACTTTATTCATTTTTATTATTAATAAAATTAATTTGTGACTGAAATATTTTTACATTAAATTCTGTTGGGAAAAAAAAAAGTTTGAAGGGGCACTAGGTCCTGAAATCCCCGATTATTTTATGTTTTGGATTGTTTTTACTTCGCCTATTTTAAACATCTGGTTGAAATTGAAAGGAAACCAACCTAATGTCTTACCATTCCCGAGAAAAGACGATAAAAACCCGCTTGTTTACATCGGACATGACGGAGTACCAATACGTTTTTTGTGTCTTTCTCAGTGTACGATATCATTGTGCGTCTCGGGAACAGCGGTGACCAATCACCAATGCCAAAAAAATGGTTTCTTCAACGTCCGCAAAAGGCGAACACTTTGCGAATGAAATCACAACTAGCATCCAAACAGCTTGAATTTATGGGGTCGCAAAAGTGGACCCCGAAATTCGTTCTCGCATGCATAATACAGGAATAACACAAAAACGCCCAGTTTTGAAAGGATGGTTGTGTGGATGTTTGTATCCTACTTTTAAATGTTATTTCCGATTAACATCATCTCGCTCAAAGCGCATTTTGTAGCCCAATTGGGCTGTTCCAGGACCTAGTGTCCCTTTAATACATGTTTAATACGTATATTTGTATATGATTTTCATATACATTGTAAATGTATTTACGATGGAAGTGAATACTGGTTCCCGTCAAATTGAGAGTAGTTAAAAATGTGTGTACAGCACGTACTTGTCGATGAGCTATTTTTTTAGAATGGAGATTAATGGAGACGTCTGACAGCGGGCTGGATACGATAGTTCAGATGACAGAGCACGAATACTGTTTTGCAGAAGTTGAAGGTCCAGTTCCTGTTCCAGTCTGTTTTTATGTTCAGTTTGAGGTTGGCTCATGATTACATTTGCTTAATTGAATGAATAATGGCATCACACCTGAGCTGAACAGATCAACCCATGCGGCTTGACAGCAAGTGCAGCAACCTGTTGCAATCTATCAAGCTCACCCACCTTTCACACCCCATGGTCTAATTGTTTTATTGGATAATTTATAACTTGCTACTTGGTCTACATGTATATTGTATGCACCTATCCATGCAAGCCATCAATTGTTAAGTCAAGATGTTAGGGTGAATATGAACATACATACATACATGTATACATAAACAAATTTACTGTTACTTATTGTTAGGACTGTTCCTTTCTTTAAATTCACAGAGTTTGTTTGCCTACCTGAAAGCTGAAAGGCTGTGTTGGTAAATACATGTAAGTACATCAAATTTCCACTTGAAACTGCATATTTTAGCTTGCACGTATGGAGGATTAAAGGTTCATATTATTTTTTTGAATGGGTTAACCCCCCCCCCCCCTGCTGTTTAAAAGGTCACAAACAGTCAAAGTTTCCTTCCACTTCCCCTGGTATACTTTCAACATACCAATGGGTCACTTGACCAATATTGACCCAAGTACCGGTAACAGCATGGCTCAAAATGCATGTTTGCACAGGACATTTTAATTGATTATTTTCATTTGGATTCACTTTTTCGGCCAATAGGTGAAAGGTGAGATTGCTTGTCAATATAGGATGCAAACCAGCAAATAAACTGCCCTAGACCTCATTGTTAGATACCCCCACTTCTGAAGATCAGGAAAAATGCTCACAACTCTCCAAGGTGTTTGAGACACACATCGGATTAAAGCTTAATCCATCATTTTTCATTTTTCTGTTCAATTTTCGGGGAAAAGTCAGATGATTTTCAGGGGGAAAATTCCATCCAGAGATGATCCACTCTAAAAAGTAGTCCTGTTGTTGCCCATCTCCATTTTGAAAAATGATGCCTTTGCTCCATTGCAGAATATCACAATATTAGGGCCCAATTTCATCCGAATTTCACAGAAAAACATTGTACGACCTCGCAGTCCTATAATGCACGGCTGCCACCCATCTTTTTTTATACACCCTCAAGTTTATGGTTCACAAAATACTCTAAAAGGCCTGTAGCAAGAAATTGAGGGCATGTATAACAAATCATGATTTGGCCGGCGTAGGCAATTTTGGGCCTATAATTTACTGGCCTGCACCTACCGGTATACTGTGTTAAAATCATAGCTCCATGGTTAAAATACATGTATTGGAAAGAGCCCTCTTGTGGCAATATACACACCTCCTTTACTGCATGTACTGTACATGTACTCTTGATTAGCCCTGAATTATATCATTTACATGTAGGTTTTTATGTACAAACTTGGTCCAAGTGAAGCATACATGCACAGTATGTACCAGCACATGTTCATGTACATTGTAGTAGCCTTGTGTGTGAATAGATTCCTACTCTTGATATACATTGTACAGTACAAACCCTCCTACACAAAGTGACACAATTTGATAAAGCTTTCCCGATCAAGTGACTGTCTGTAACTGTTAAAAAATCTATGTCCACACAAATACATGAACCCATGTACCAGATATGTTCACGCATGCATAATGTATGAAGGAGCACAAAGACTGGCTGGGCCCTGTTTATGTTAGTTGATTCACTGTCACACATGCTGTGGCTATGGGTGATTGATTATCCAGCTGCAAGGCCCTGCCTGTGTGCTGAATGGTTTTGGCCAAGCAGGGTGTAATTCTACACTGCTGAGTAACTGGCAGTGGCTGATATGACCCCTGTGTGTGTTGATAAGAGCTGTGGGCGCCATTGTATGTTGATTGTAAAACGGCATGTTCCATTACAGTACAGGGAATTGGTGACAATGTGTGGTACTTTAATGATAATCATTAGCAGTGTCATTGTTAGAAATTGTCCATTGATAATTATATGATATGTAACACTATTTCAAAAGAAGTACAGAAGTGAAACAGATCATTAAAAAGGGAACTGTAAATTGTCAGAGAGTGCAAGATTCCTGCTGCTCATCCTTGAAATCAGTGGTACAGACCAGACTGCAGTAAAGGCAGTCATTGCTTCTACTAGCCAGAATTGAAGGCAGTCTTTGTGTCTCGCCCATCTTTTGTGACAGAATTTGAAGAGTTAGAGAGCCAGAAATCTATCTGCAAGCATGGCAGAAATGGCTGAGAATGCTGGTGGTGCACATGAGGCGAAGGAGACCGGGGGAAAAATAGTGGAGATGGCAGGAACTCCAACTTCAAGCGAAGAGCTACATGCAGCACCGCCAGAAAAAAGGATGAGAGTGGAAGGCAACCAAGACCAGCCGTCGACGTCTTACATGTTCATGTCTGGCCTGATTTCGGCTCTGAAAGACAAGCCGGATGGTGAAGAGGAGGAGGAAGACATCATGGACTTCTTCGGTGGTGATGATGATTATGGTGGTGATGGGGATGGTGGTGATGATGAGGATGATGATGATGATGATGGTGAAGAAAAACGCGGGTACATGTATCAGTCAAGTGATGAGGATTCCTCAACAGATGTGGAGCTCCCCTCTGAAGACTTTGTATCACCGAGTATCACCTCATCAGACGATGAAGAAGATAACACGTATTCTTCATCAGGCCCTAGGATCCTTACTGATGACTACTTGCTGTCTGGTCTCATCGCATCGGGAGTTAAAGAACATGGTGCATACCCGCGGAAGAGGGTTCAAAGGCAGAAGCACGAGGGAGTTGACCCAGCCTCCGATGATGACCCGATTGAGCCAGGTCACTATCAGCAGCCTCAGTACCGCAAAGACCGCCGTGGTTGGACCAGGGAACTGACCACAATTCCTGTTCATGAGTTTGAGGGCAGGAAGCCGTACGGTCCAGCCTTTGAGCGTCCGGAGGACGACGACCCTCTGAAGTACTTTCTAAAATTCTTCCCTTTGGATCTGTTCAAGAAGATGGCTCGCTGGACAAACATCAATGGGGGTGCTAATCCACGTTTTGGCAAAAAGACCACGCCCGAGGAGGTCAAAGCGTGGTTTGGCATCAGGATGATTCAGGGCGTTCACAGCAACAGCAACGCCGACGATGACTGGTCAACCAGGGACTCCCTGATGAACCCCAAAATTAAGCGCACTATGATGAAGAACAGGTTCAGTATGCTATCAGAGGTCTTGGCCTGTGCTAATCCCTTCAAAGGGCCGCAGCAGATCAGAGACAAGCAAAATCGCAACTTGTACATGAAAAACCATCCACTGTACCGTCTCCAGCACATCTGGGACACTGTCAACAAGCTCTGCCTTGACAACTACAACCCTTGCAAGGAGCTCACACTTGACGAAGCAACGACCAAGTACAAAGGAGGCAAGTCTGGCGTCAAGCGGTTTTTCTTGCCTCTGAAACCGGGCAGGATAGGGTTTAAAATCCACGCCATCTGCGATCCCAACACTGGATACACCCTTCATATGATGGTTCACAGCGAGTCCAACAAAAACATGAAAGATGTCGTCATGAAAACAATGGACCCCTTTGTAGGTCGGTACCACCAGCTGTATTGCAGCAAGTCATACACTTCACCTGGCCTTGCGTCCGAGCTACTGGAAAAGAGGACATACATGTGCGGTGCTGTGAGACGAGTGTCAAAGGGCCTTCCTGATGACTTCAGCACCAATCCAGTCGTCAACCCCACCCGGTACCGCCACATGGAGATGATGGCCAAAACGCCGCGAGGCACCATCTATTCGCGGCAGAAGGGACAGCAGACTGTGGTCCTATGGCGAGACACCAAGATCCTCACCTTTCTATCCACGTGTCACCAGGGCTTCCGCAACCAGGCAACCGACTTCTTGCCCAGGAACATCCGAGAGAAGGGAGAGAAGAAATCCAGCCAGAAGGAAGTACGAGCTCCTCCCCATGCCATGGACTACAATCAGTTCATTGGAGGTGTTGACAAAGCTGACCAGCTTCGTGGGTACCACACCTGCAGCCGACAGTCCATGGCTTGGTGGAAGAAAATCATGTACTTCCTTGTCGACGTGGCCCGAGTGAACGCCTGGATATGTTACAAGGCAAACGTGAAGGCACAGCCACGCGTCGTTCCCCTCACCCACCGACTCTTTACCGTTGAGATAGCCGAGAAGCTCATCGCTGGCTTCTCTGAGGGCTCCACCCGGTGTCATCAGCAACTTGAGCTCGCCCCAGTTCCGAGCATCAATGGGCCCATCCACCAGTCCATCCGCATGCCCGTGAAAGCTGCCAAGATGTGCGTCCAGTGCCGTCGAAAAGGACGGACAACAACCAAGGGACATCACGTGACCACTCGCTCTGGGTGCACATCCTGTAATATCCATCTCTGCCGTGGAAAATGCTTTCTGGAGTTTCACACTGCTGAATGAACGTACCACTGCCTCATGAAAAAAGGGGGAAAATCCCTCAAAATAGAGGGGAAAAGATAAAAGAAGTCAAATAGTAAGAAGATATCAGAAGAAAAATGAAAAGTTCAGATGTAATTCAAGTTGCATTCTTCTTGCTCTTCCAAAAAAAATCAATATTCAACCTGCATGCTACATTCCTACCAAAAACCTCTCTGTTTTCCCCTTTTTTGGGGGGATGTCTGCAACCTTCCGAAAAAAAGATTTTGTTTTAAGCACAAACAGATCCACTTTGCGAGCAGACTGGCTCATGGTCTGTACATTATCGTTACTGATTGTGGGCTGAGTCCGAGAACCACAGTAGTAATTTAATATAATTTTTTGATTTAGATGTAGATTTTTTTGGTGGATGTTGCATTCAGAAGTGAACAACTCTTGTATTACTAAAAAAAAAATTGCAAATGAGAAAAGGAATCTGTTTTTGGGGGGGATGAAAATCGAACAGAGCATGGGAAAAGCAACTTTAGGTAAGAAAAATTAGAGAAAAGGAAAATGTTTGAAATACACGCAGTGACTTATTTCAGTCAAAACATACCAGTATAATTATCTACTATTTATTTTATTTTTGTACACGTGTATAGCAAAAACACACGTTTAGACAACAAACTTTTAACTTCCACTGAGCAAAAAGTTAATCCTGCCTCCATTTTGAGATGAGAATAAGGGAGGATCATCTCCCTGTCGTGTTTGTGACCAGTATGTTTATTTTCTTTGTGATATTCAGGAATACATAAGTTCAAATTGAAGCGTGCCTGGGGAAACACATTTTGAACATCAGATAGTGAACGTTTCAGATACATGTAGCGTATTTTTAAACAGCAAAAGAATACCGGTACTGCATGTAAAACAGGAGAATTCATACAAACTTTTACTCAAGTGTACATGTAAATTTATAATGCAAAGTTTTGCAAACATTGTGTTTTTTGTAAATAAGCCAACGCTTGGACAGGATCATCAACGTTTTCCTTTTAACATTAGTGGTGGGAGAAATCAAAGATTTCAAAATCCGGTTATACTAAATTTTTCTCAAACCGAATAGGTTATCCGATTTCACCGGAAGTTCCTATGAAGATCACAACCATGCCAACAAAAAGTGAGGAGTCAGGTGTGGAATCTAGTTAAATACATACATACAATCATTAGGCCAAAAAAAAGAATAGTTCTGCTTCCGGTTACCCGACCGACCCTATTTTTAGGCTGCGACCCTAAAAATTTTATCAGCAATTCAAAAAAAAAAAAAAAAAAATTGAATAAATAAAATTAAATCTTGTTGTCTTTTCTGTCTTCACAAAATACCTCTCAACTACCCTTTTGCATCAAAAAATGCTTGTATTTATATGTTTTCTTACTTACATTCGCTTTTTTTCAAAAGAAACCTCCGTTATTTTTACAAATTTGCTTCGGGATATAACTACTTCGCAATTCGATGTCACGGTGACTATAATCACGTGGCGACGACTGGTTCCCGCCGCGCCGCCCAGGGGCCAATTTAGAAGACATGATGAAAATGCGGTAACCAGTCCACAGCTATGCGACCAATAGCGCGCTAGCAGTGCAGGCCAATGTCAACTGGTCGGATTCGACATCGTAAAAATGCCAAGAAAACACCGATGGAGAAAGAACATTTTTGCAAGTTAATTTACAGAATTGATCTAGCTTGTCTGTGTATGTATTTTCTGTGTTCAAGAGTTCATTTTGAGATCGCACTACTCGTATTTGGAGTGATACATGCCGCGTGTTTCCCGAAATTTTTGACCGTAAAAACAGGGCCCAATTTCACGGCGCTGCTAAGCACACGATTTTCTGCTAACAGAGCCTCCGTCTATTTCATGGAGACCGTAAGCATAAGCACAGCAAAAGGCACTCTTACTTCAGAGGAAAAATTTGCTTAACTTAGTGACGTAACAATAGAGATCTCCATGCATGCGCGACCGTTAGCACACAAACGCCGTGAAATAGTGCTTAAGGTTAACAAATTTTTTCGCAAGAACTCGAATGAAAAAATAAATACAGGTTGTACATGCATGAAAATGGTACCATTAGAAAGAGCGAGAGCGCCCCCTTTTGATAACATGTATGTATTTACTCTACCTCGTACATGTACGAGGTTTGGCAATTTTAAGTATGAACATTACCTCGTACATGTACGAGGTTGGCGCTATTGTACTAACAAATGTACCTCGTACATGTACGAGTTTGGCACTGAAAGAGTTAAATGTTGTGGGCCGTATAAAATGCTACATTTATTTAAGTTTATTTATTAAAGTTTGTATAACATTTTCCATTATTTTGTCTTTGCAAAGACATTTCTAATTGAATGGCCCTACTCTGTAATGCATAGTGGAATAGACTCCGTGCACAAGTACCCCCTCAACGGCCACAAATGGAAAGTTAAGGAAGACCATCGGAAGGGACATTCGAATGCATTGCCGATGGTGATCAGCAGTCATGCAAAAGTACTCGCATGCAGTGTTTCTCACCCATTGAGGCCCTTTAAAGCGGTCACAGAGCGCCATCGATTGTTCATGCACGGAGTCCATTAATATCCCCAGCCAGCTCAATTTGGGTGATTCACAATGCAACTGGCCACCAAGAGTTTGCCATGGAGAGTCCATTTTTCAAGTTTACGATCAACAAAACATGGCCCATTTGAATGAGTGTCGGTAGACAACTTGAGCTTATTTGTTATAGATTGGGGCGCAAGCCTTGCCAAAAAAACCCACCATATTGATAAAAAGCAAAGAAAAGGACAAATGAATACCCGAATTATGTATACGCTTACAAAATTATCTCCCAAAATGCATTGGGAAAAATGAACTCTCCGCGGCAAACTCTTGGTGACGCACTGCATTGTGAATTGCCTGTATCGCCCAGACACCCAAGTAACTTAATAATCCAGTTTGGGGGGAAATCTAACCCCCTTGCCTTGTACCTTCTAGCAGAAACTCTAGACTGGGTTGGGCAACAACCTTTTGTGTTTGTGTAATCAGGTTGTCTTAATTTAGCTAACTTTAAAAAACATATATCGTGTACTGCAAGGTCATTTCAAACAGAGGGATCAGTTGACAATGGCTGGCTATTCAAAATCAGTCACCCATTTTATTTTTCTGGTAATGCAGCAATATTGTGTACTGTAAGGATCCCTTGGTGTATGTTTTGTTTTGGGTTGGGCTGTTTTTCCGGCCTGCAAGTTCAACCATCCTTTGTTCAGATTTATACTTTGTCTACTCTGCATGCAGTTGAAATCTGTTTGAAAAAAGGAAAACATGACCAGAAAGTGCTATAATATTTTTAAAAAAAAATTGTTTAGAATACCTGATTGGTTTTGGTGGTTTTTTTTTTTTATTTTTTAACTTGCCTGCACTATTTTCCCCCAATGCTTTTTTTTTTTGCTTGGGTTGTTTGTCTTTCTTGGCAGACAGACAAACAACTGTTTGTTGACCGGTCTGATCAGTCTGTCTGTCCAGTCTGGTGGAAGTGCTGGTTTCTCTGTGTTTGTGATGTTTATTTGATGGTGTCGTATTTTATGATATACATGTACTTCTAAGAGTTATTGATGATAATTATCGATCGTAAGATTTACATGTTTGCAATTCTTAGTGTTTTCCTTTTAGTTTTAACTTTTTGAAACTGAATGTCTTTAGGCTACAGTAACTAAGTTTGCTTTTTCAGTTTGTCATCTTTTTTAGTTTGTCTTGTTTTATTGTCAATTTCAGTGTACTGTCCTTTGAGCTTTGTTGTTTGATTTGATGGCAAATAACTGGTATCTTGTAAAAAAAAAAGAAGAATAATAAACATGGCAACCGTCCAATGAGGGCTTAAAGAATTAAAGAGAACACTCAGCATGCATAAATAATCTCCTCATCTGATTTCTTGATCTGCTGCTGCCCCACCTTCCTTTCCCCCACCCCATTTCCCCATCCCACCCCCCCTCCCTTTTCCAGCCATCCCCCACCCCCACCTCCAGCCCTCCCCCACTCCCACCCCGGCCCATCCTACTCTTCCCCACCCCCACTCTTCGCCTGCCCCCACGCCCACCCTCACCCCCACCGGCCAACCTGATTGTTTCATCTGGAAGGTCTAGCCCAGCGGATTTCTGTGACTAGAATGATAAAATGCCCGATTATACAATGTACACTGACTTCATCCAGGAAGAGCTGTGCACTGTCACACCAGAAAAACACTAGAAGTGCATTTTACATGTGCGACAACATGTACTTGAGTGGTTGGAAGCAAGCCTCCAATGTTTTCATAAAACTTCAACATTGTTCGGAAAGTGTGGACTCTGAGGGCAGACGGGGTCAGGACAAATTCAGGGAAAACATTGACGTAGCCTGTGTCAATACATTTGTGTACTCAAGAGCTGTGTTTGACTTTGCAAAACTTGTGGGGGGGGGGGGGGGGTGTTTAATGGATGAATGTACTCGTGCACAGAACAACAGCACCGTGCACAGAAACATTTGGAGTACACTTTGTTGAGTTCGTTCGAGGGTCGAGTCAAAAGTAGTGAAATCGTTTAAACTTTTGTAATGCACTTCCTTGAAATTATCCTTAAATATTATTTTTAAAAATGTGTACCTAAAGCCATGTGCCCATTGGACTTTTTTTGGGTTAACTACCACGACTTTCCTGTAGAATGACAAAATTAAGTCCAATGGGGACGGAGGGACAGATGGTAAACTAACCCGCTTGTCAATGTACTGCGACCGTGATGTAAAACTACCAGGCCGAATGTCGCCGCGGAAAATTTCTGCTGAAAAGTCAAATGGAAACAGTATTGGTAGGCACGAACTAGAAGAGTACGTAACGGTACGCACCGTCTTGATAATGAAGGTCATTTTCCCCATTCCACACTATCGGTCAAGTAGCTGACTATTTTAGCGTGCGAAAATTATCCACCAAGGTAAAAGGTTATTGTGCACAGTGCCCGCAATATGTGACATTCTACGGCGAGTAAACGTTCTGTCGGTGTCCAGATGGGAACGTGTGGTAGACTCGTGCGAAGGAATGTCGTGGAAAGTTTCTGCACGGCCGCAGAGGAAAAAGTCCAATGGAAACATGGCTTAAGACTACCCATTCCTATTGGTTGAGAACCTGTTATGTGGGTGGTTTGAAACTGCTGATAAAATAAGGCTGGTTTTAAGCACTTTATTCCTGCACCGCTGTGTTCTGCACCACATCACGCAGTATGCGCAGCGAGCATGCGAAT